ACTCTTCCCTTGCTCCGTACCCCACCCAATCTCTGCCCTCCCTCCTCCTTCCATCTGCCCTCCCCCCGCCCAACTTCACCCTGCTGTCTTTCCCCTTCCTCCCGGCCTTTTCCCATGCTCGTCTCCCCCTGACGACCTCCCTGCCTTCATAACACAACCTCTAAACTACCTTCTGCTTTCTGTCCTCCCTCCGCCCTACTTCTCCCTGCCGCCTCCCTTTCTCCAGGCCTCCTCTAGACCTTCTCTTAAAACCTTCCTCTGCCCTCCGTTCGCCTGGCCACCTCACTCCCCTTCCTTCGCCCAATCTCCGAGTGACCTCTTTCCCTCTATCTCCTCCATCCTCTCCGCCCATTTGCACTGACCTCCTTCCCCCAATCTCCTTCCTCCCCTTCCTTCCTTGGCCCGATGTCCACCTGACCTCCTGCTTCCGCCCTCCTCTCTGCCGCCTCTGCCCTGCCTACTCGCCTCCTCCCACTGGCCTCCGTCCACCTGGCCGCCCCATTACCCTTCGTTCGCCCCCTTCGTTCGTCCCCTTCGTTCGCCCGAGCTCTGTCTGACCTCCTTCCTCCCCTTCCTTCCTCAGAGCGATCACCACCTGACCTCCTCCTTCCATTCCTCCCTCCGTCCTACTCCCTACCTCCCCCTTCCTCGACCGGCCGCCCTACCTAAACGCTCCATTTCTTTTCAGATCTTAACATGGTTGCACAGGCGCAAGAAGGAGAGAGGGAAAGCAGGAGAGAAAAAACGCATTTCACCTAACCCAGTTCCTCCTCTCGCTCTTCCTTCCTCACACTTTGTATGTCTCCTCCACCACAAAAGGTACGTCTTCTGCTGCCTGAAGATCTTCCTCCTCAACATTCTCTTTCGCTCTTTTCTCTTTGGAACAGCCTTATGATTAACTGCCCTGCGCCAGGTATTTCAGGCTATCGATATTTCTTTCCATATTTCACTCTTCCTCCCCAGTCCCACCGCATTGAGTCAGCTCTCTCTCTCTCTCTCTCTCTCTCTCTCTCTCTCTCTCTCTCTCTCTCTCTCTCCCACACACGGCTCCCTGTGTGCGTCTGTGTGCGACCGCACACGCGAGAGCACACGCTCGCCCTTACTCACATTGGAAAAAAACAATGCGGCGCTAAGCCTTAACGCAAATTGAGAAAGATGAGAAAAACGGAATGCATTCTCTATATCGTCCCCAGATAAGGGAGCCAGAAGAGAGGGAGGACGGAGGGCCAAGGAAGGTAACGCCACCGGAGGAAGGAGGGAGAAAGCAGGAAGGAGAAAGGGATGGTGCCTCTCCTGCCTCTCTCTCTCTCTCTCTCTCTCTCTCTCTCTCTCTCTCTCTCAATAGCCTGACCCGCTTGCCCGCAGTGAGGTGTGGGTTCGAGGTGAAGTAGAAACACTCACTCTAGCAGGAATCCACATCGACGCTCACGTCGGAGCACTTAGCATGAACTCACGATCCACGCGCGAACCACCAATCCACGCAGCACCGATTCACGAAAGCACCAACTCACATCACATCCACCACGAACCCACGATGCACCAAACACCGAATCCACGAAGTGGCAAGGACGAAGCACGACGTATGAAGCACAAAATCCACAATGGACGAAGCACGAAGCATGAAGCACAGAATCCACAATGGACGAAGCACGAAGCATGAAGCACATAATCCACAATGGACGAAGCACGAAGCATGAAGGTCAGCTGTCATAGGTCCGTAGGTAGCAGGGGTTCGATCTGTAGACCTATAGAATAGAAGTCTTAGCTGTAGCCCTTCTAGAAGGTCAGCCAGTGGGCAAGTGGGCAAGTGGTGAGTCAAGTGGTGGACTAACTGCAGTGCAATTGCAGTACGACCTGGGTAGGTTAGCAATGAGTTTCCACTCAGTCAGCGGTAAGGTCCAGTCAGTCCCAGTCCGGTTCAGCAAGTACCACAAGGGACTGTCAGCACCATAGGCCAATGGCAAAGGGCAGACCAACAAGTTTCAGAAGTATAAATCAAGAGGCAGCGCCCAGCCATTCATTCATTTGTCCGTGAGCCATGCGGAAGCGCTGCCACAGCGACTTGTGCAAGGAGGTCTGCAGTGAGCCCGGAGTTGAAGTGGGCGAGAGAGGAGCGTAGCATAGCGATAGGGTAGCTGCGGCCATAGCCGCCACAGTTACAGTTAGTGTGTAGCATGTGTGTGTGTGTGTGTGTGTGTGTGTTCAGAGTAACACGTGTGGGATATCCAGGGTGATCCGGTGTATGTGAACAGTGAGCTGTTTGGGCGCCGAGTCGCCATAGCCAGTTGAAAGTGAACTCGTATCTGGTTGTCATATCT